TTCTAGCTTTCAATCTATACTAGTCTTCATCAAGCTGTGCACCAATATATTGTAGATAGTGCAGAAAAAAACATACAAATCCCCAAAGTCATGGCAGATGATGGTGCCACGTCTAGTTCTTAAAAGTGAGTTCCAAAATACAGACTGATAACATAAATCAGGAGTCTAGGTTTCACATTCCCCTGATTGCTCTTGGTTCTCTGATTCTCTAGTCCTACTATTGGCATAAACAATTAAAACAATAAATCTTAGGGATGAATTGCTGGTAATTAAGAAGTGAACAAGTCATCTTTTTGCAACAAAAAATGTTTAATTTTTTTTTTCAGGCTTGAAGAGGCCTAGGAGGATCTCCACAGAAACCTGAGGGGGCTGTATATTGCCCTCTACAACACTGTAGAGGTACACATTGTCAGAACCTTTAAATCAAATTTATTCTATGGGAACAGGATATGTAATATTGGTCAGTGCTTGTGGCAAAGACTATGTACTCTTGGCTCTAGTACTGTAAACCCTTGAATTTATGTCTGAAAGCCTATATGGCTATTTAACCAACTCTTATTCATCAGTTTAGCTGACAAACATTGAGCAAATTTTACTATAGATTTATCCTGGTTGAATATCAGATCATACGTACTTTATATCCCATAAACTACATGTAGGTAAAATTAATGTTTAAATTCTGAATTTGCTTTTATGCATATTCTAGGTATGACAAGAGACTGACAAATATAATGAACTTCAGTACAAGATTCTCAAGTGTTTCAGAGACACCCCCCCCAAAAAAAAACCAGTCTAGATTACAACAAACAAGAAAACAAGCTATGTGTATAAGTGATGGCTAATATAATGTCTAGCGCTCAATAGAAATCATGTAAGCCTTCCTTATCTCCAGCAGATTTTCTTCCAAATGATCAAGCTCACAATAAATGTGAGCCTGGGCAAATAAGGAGGCTTCTGGAGCTTATACAGTCACATACTTGCCTGTGGATTTCTGGTAAGTATCTTAATACGTTGGCACACTTGTATTCTTTCCTTCTCCTACTGATGTAGGTGATGGAATTCCATTTACATTACTGTGGCCTTTACGTACTACCTCAAATTTTGATTCATAGGTTTTTTTTCTTTTGGTAAAATGTGTATGGTTTTATAAATTAGTGTGATATTTATTTGGGACACAGCTAATCTCTAATGAGCAGACATGTGTGTGTGTTTTTTACTGTAAACTTTTCCAAAATATTTTCACATATGAAAAGAAACAGACAAAGTTAAACACACAAAGGTGAACTGTGCTCCACACTTAATCAGATATGTCTTTAAGATACCTTGGCCCTAGTACCTTTCAAAACTCTTTAAAAAATCTATATAATTTTTAAAAACACATGATGAATATACTTTGAATGCTAAGCTGCTGCTTTAAAAACACAACACCTGTCTTTCTTTTTGTTCAGCAGTTTTCAGACTGAAGAAGCCAAAGAAAATACTAACAATTATGTTAGCCTTCTGACATCTTAATAGCTAAATAGAATGTCCCATTCTATTAAACATGATCATGAATGGTCATTATTTGAAATATTCTGCACAGAAGAGGCTGTATCAAGACCCAGTAAAGTACCGAGATAAGACTGCTCTCTAGGATCCAGTATCTGTTCAGGTCTGACTGGATGAACTATATTTGCAGGCTGTGGAGTAAGAGTATATTTTTCTAAAAATGCCAGATCTGTTGTTTGCTGGTAATCTGTTGGAGGTGGCTGTGGAGGAAGGATGTTGCTGTGAGGTGAGGATGTAACTGGAGTGGGATGTTGTATCAGCTCAGATTGAGTTTCACGCATTCTAACAGGTATCAGTGTTACTGGCACACATACGTCTGGGGATACATTCTGCAGCATTGTTTTGGTTTCTCCTTGGTACACCTTACTCTGTTCCATGAATGGTTTAGAATCACCTTGAAAACCCTTATCATCAGGTGTATACTGGCTTGGCAAAGAAGTAATTTTTTCCTCCAACTCTGGGCTTACAGATCCTTCTGCAGACTTTCCTCCATGAACATGGTCAGTATGGTATTTTAATTTGTCTTTCCGTTTAAATGTCGCATTACAGAACTGACAGTTAAAAGGGCGAGCATCTGAATGAATAACCATGTGTTTGGTTAATGTCTTCTTAATTCTGAAGGTCTGGTTACAAATTTGACATTTGTATGGCTTCTCACCTGTGTTGAAAACTCAGTATTAATAGAGTAAAAGTAATTCCTATTATGCCAGTTCTATATATTCTTTTTGGTTGCTCGACTGCACACATAAATATTTTAAGTAATTTCTATAAAATACAGACTGCCTAATATATTTTAAGGATCGGCACCAACAGAGCAGCCTTTTTAAAGAATAGTATCAGCTTTTAGAACACAAATTCCTTTACAAGGAAAAACCCCAATCTGTTAAGCTGTAAAAATGGATGTGCTGTATACACTGTTACAGAAAATAGACATAAATAGACTATTTTATGGGAACCTGATTCCTTAACTAGAAAAGAGGGATAGAAACAGAGAAAAGTACTTTGTTAACAGTATTTCCACTGAGAACTAAAATGCCTGGTGGTCTTTCTGTGCAGAAAGGCCATAGACAGGTGAGTTCCACAGAAAACTACTGTACTGTACAATCTATAAAATTATACCAAATGGCTAATCTTTTCATAAGATAGATTTTGATATGAGTACATACAAGTACACTATTACTCATGTGACGTCTAAACTCACTTTTAATAGCCAGATGCTAAGATACACTATCTAATTCAAAAGTCTTTTCACTGTAATATACATCAACTAACTAACCTCGGGCTAGCATATCTGTGTTACCAACCAACTACTCTTTGTTAATTATTGATGACAAAGAAATGAGCAATGTGTGTACTTAACAATATTTAAATTGTACACATTCTCTACTCACCCACTACAATGTGTACAATTGCTGCTAACCAAACCAATACCCCATGCTTTCATTGAAGTGGGCTGCAGACCTCAATGTTTTAAGCCAGTTTTTTAAAAAAAAGTTTTCAAAGAGCCACAAGGTTTTTCATCGTTAGAAGTAGCCAAGAAACAAGTAAAACCTAAACAATCACTGAAACTGACCTGTGTTGTTTTCTCTTATTATTATGAATATTAAATGTTTAGAGATGGCTGGTCTACAGTAATATAAATCTGTTTACCTGAATGTGTCCTAAAATGCATTTCCAGACTTGATTTTCCCTTAAAAACTTTCTTACAGACTTCACACTGATGAAAGGTTGCTTTGTATCTACAAAGAAGCAAACATGAGTTACAAGATCAGCAGCCTATCAAATATTTTCAGTGCTTACCTGCACTATATCACTACCCAAATGTTCAACCTTCAGCTTTTCCTGCTTTTAAATTGTATTTTGCAGGCAGATGTAAATGCATTAGACTGCTTCTTGTGTACCATTTCAATATGTTCACAAAGAATGGATACATAGAAAAATGTACAATTTTTCAAATGGTTCTGTTCTCTCATGTAACATACACTGCTATGGTCTCTTTTTTAAATCAAACAGCTTGTGTTCACCAATACAAAGACACTTGTATCAACATCAGAGATAGCTCGTGGACATGTTGGGGGAACACTGATGGCACATAGCTATTTTTCAGTGCAATGGATCATAATTTATCTGATCAAGGTCATTTTATTTAACCAAGGCCATTCTGTATGTGTTAGTCTACCCAACTGTTACTCAAGATATTGATATCCTTCGGAATTAAAATTAAACTTACTTTTGCCACACTTTCTCTCCCAGATGAACACTTTTATAATGGACAGTGAGGTGGTCTCTTCGGCCAAAACATTTTCCACACTCCTCGCACTGATGGGCCTTTTCACCTAATGCAAACCAACATAGCCGACATCATTTTTATTAGCATTAAACCTTGTTTAGCATTATGGTCATAAGTACAGCTCATGTGCTTCCTCCTGTTTTTGGGATGGAAGAAGAGATCCAAAGCTCCTTTTTAATAATTTTATGATAAGTCAGTGTAACACTCAACTTTAGGTAATTCTTGGTTGGTTCATATTACATTTAGTTCAATAAGCTGGAGATAAACCACTGATCTGGCTTTTTTCATAGTAGTAATTTAAACTAGCTAGAGTTCACCAGGTTCAAATGTAACAGAAAACTGTTCTATATTAAATGACTGAAGTGCCGCTCCTAGAATTCAGTTACTGGTATCTAGAACTTTAAAGGCAAAATAAACTGGTATTTTGACCCCACCCTTTTGCTTTTGAACCAACCCACCCCTGGAATGCGACCCTTAAGAACGTCTCTAAAAATCAGTTCAGCCTTTGGCTTCTCCACCCTTGCCTGAGAGAAGAGCATAATTTAAAACCATTCTATGTTTCTCTTTGGCCTTCGGGAAAGATTAGCTTTCTAAACACCTTTCAATTTTTCCTGTTACACTTGGTATTTGTTGTCACCAGTTTATGTGAGAATAGGCTGTGTTTTCCTCCACTGTTGTTCCATTTTGTAACTAGAAAAATTCTGACTTGTAAAGAGAAAGAATAAAAATGCACCAGCAAACAGAACTGAACATTTCTGAAAAACAAATTGTTTTCATACAAATGCAACTCTTATGAGCAGTTCATACTATTGTATGTCATCACTATATTCTTCAATGCTGTGACAAATCCACCTGTTTTAAGAAAACTCCATCAGGTTTTTTGATGAAAAAAACCAGTTTGAAAAACAACAACTTTGCCATGTTTCTTCCTATATGTTATATATTACATTGGATCCAGAACAGCATTTAGCTTAGTTATATGCATAGGAGGGAAGAGGTCAGAATGAATCTTAATGATTCTTTGGAGAACTGGCAATCCACTGGAACAGTATAAAGCACAGTGCAAAGAGCAGCAGAGGAAAGCAGAAATATTGCCTCCCTGCTGTTTCTTCTGCATGGAACATCTGCTGGATCCCAAGGCCTTCGATGAATGGAAGGAACCATTCTGTCTACAGAATGGCTATTTTGGATCCAGTCCTTTTATACATGCACACACATACCATCTCTGACCACTTGCCTTAACATGATGGGAAATGGTGTAAAAGACCTTGAAGCAATAACTAAAAATGCTATGCCCCAATATTCCTTTACAGAGAATGCTAATGCCAGTGTCACTGCCGACCTGAATGTATCTTCTTGTGTTTTGTTAGATGGTCATGGCGAATAAATGTCTTTCCACATTCTCCACATTCATACCTCTTGTCATCATGGTGGACTCTTAGATGAAGCCTGTAGGAATAAGCACAGGGTTAGACTTCAGTAGTTCATATGCATCATATTAAAACAAATCTGACATGATACAAATTTTCAGACACCAGTCTCCACAATTAGAACAGTGATTTAACAATAGCTTGACACCCCATGAAATAAGATGCCACACTGTTCCCAGGAACACAGAAGTGTCCATGAGTTGCTATGTTTCTGCTGATTTTTGCAATGTTCTGTATACATGAACCACAATTTAGCCCAACAGATTAAGTTTAAATACTTTTGGATTACAGGATTGTGGGGAGGGAATGCATCAAAGAAGTGTAATTCTAGGCTTTAATCGTATACTAACGTCACTGGGGCTGCATACATAGCAGAAATCTACTCATGCATAGGTTTGCACAACTGGTACCCAGTTTTTTTTCTGAATTCTGAATATTACAGGAATTCTAAAAATTGTTATAGAATTCTAAAAACTGTTATAGCAGGCTTTAATTCATTGCTATTAGCTGCTCTGACATTATAAATGAAAACATATAATTTCAATAAATAATTCCAGACTATTTTCTACCAATTATTTAAAAAACACAATTTAACTAGTATTACCTATATGAACTTCCATGACGAAAACTCTGTCCACAAATACTGCACAGATGAGGCTTCTCTCCACTATGGATTCTTAAGTGCTCTTTCAAAGTTGTTCTAGGGGAAAAAATGAAATATCAGGAAGTTTTCTATATCCTTCATGATGAATAGTTCCAGTTAGAGTGAAAAGTACAAAGGTTAGTATAAATGGAGAAGGGGGGAAATAATTCAACAGAAGCCATTCCTGAAATGCATCACTCATGAGGCAAGTCCTTCATTCCCTCTCGACTTTCAGAGGGCTACAACTTGGTAAGCATAACCTCCTTCCCTAAGCATTATCAGAGAGGAGACTGGGGAGAAATGTGGTGCTCAACACTAAACCCACACCACACTATTTCAGATATTCATCACTAGTGTTAGATGACAAGGAGGGATATTTGGGTTTAGGAAAGATCTACCTGGTCAGACTACTGAAGAAGACAACTCTGCACTGCAACATTTTGTTGCGCCTCCTAGCAGTATTAGAATATGATGAAATATGAAACTGCTTTTTAGTATTTCTACAGTACATATTTATGCAAAAATGGCACTTCCTATATTTGAAATCTGCCTGGTTCTGGTATCATTTAATTACTAGCTTCAAATAATTTACCTGAAAATCACTGGGTAAACACTAGTTAGTTCCTAGCAGAGGTGACAACACACTTTTGTTCCAGACCACTTTAAGACTAATTCTGCCATTGGACTCTTGAGCAAGCTTATAGAAAATCAAAATATTAGGTCAACCTCTATTTATTTTACATACCTCTGTAATATCGAGACATATAGTAGAAAATTTTAGTACTGATTTACATGACAGAATGTATATATTTGCTCACCTACCTTTCTCTAACTGATTTTCCGCAAATAAAGCATGTCCATTTTCTCTTTCCTCCATGAGTACATTCAATATGACGCTTCAGGTTTCCAGTGTCATTAAACTGGCGACCACAAATATCACATGGGAAAGGTCCTGAGAAAGGAAACAAAAACAAACTAAAAAAACACAAACTAAAAGATTGGTAATTTGAACTAGTAGATTATTTCATAACAAAAGATGTTTTATTGGAAGATAAGAATGCAAAGCTGAAAAGAAAAATCAACTTATCAGCCCTTTAAAACACCACATGCATAGACACACAAACATACCAGAATTTGCATTTCTATGTTCATGTTGGCAAACATTGTCCGTACTCTCTATGAAACCACTGTGTTAATACTTAACACCTACTTCAGATGATACACTCCAGTTCATAACACTGGGCAGGCTGACAAAACAACAGAGGTAGGCTTAAGATAACTGATGCATCCAGAATAAAGAGTTCTCTGAAACAGGGAGCACATCCCATCTTATCACACTGTGTTACTACACTAAAACACCATTCACATTTGTATGAATAGAAACAAACTGATCTGTGTTCTTAGCAAAGAACATTTCTTCCCCATTCCCCAACACCACCTTTATAAGCTGCCTTGGGTTTCTTAATTGGGAGAAAGATGGGATAAAAATAAAATGACATTATATAAATGAATAAATAAGCAGAAAGAATCTGTTTGTCCTCAAGAAAATTAATTAACTTCTGTACAAGAAATAAGCAAGTAGAAATCCTTGTTTGAAATGCTGAGCTCACCTGCTTTCAAGCTTTTCATTACATAAACCATAGCAGCAAATAAAATAAGAGTTACAGAAAGAACTAATTAAAACTTAATCTGCTGGATGTATTCTTCCCTTGGAGATTCAGCTTACTGTGTCATCCCCAGCCTCCAAAACACTGAATGCTGGAGCAACTCTTAAAAATTGCTTAAACAAATACACTTAAACATAATCCTGTAAGAGACGTGCCCAAGCTAGGCACTGAAACTTCACCCATTTTAACAAATATACATTGAATAAAACATATTTGTATTGAACAACTTCTATTAAAATTAAGTTTTCATACCTAGATGGAACTTTTCTTGATGCTTCAGCCTGGCAAAGCGGGATTTAAAGTGCTCTTCACAATAGATACACTTGAAAGGTTTATCCTGAGTGTGAAGAATCATGTGTTCTTCCAGATGAGGCCTTCTTGTGAAAGATTTATTGCAAATCTAAAGTGACAGATCATCAAACCCAACTATTAACCAAAAAGGCCCACTGAAATTTGTCAAATACATAGTCTTCCTGGACAATGGCAGGGAAACAATAATAATAAACAGACTATTTTTTAAGACGTGATAATGCAATGAAACAAAAAATTGGTCTAAAAGAATATTATCTTCCTGGAAATGTTATATAACACATGTTGTAGATTAACTACACACGTATGGAATATTCACTTTGTTGTTTCCATTTCTTCATTTCTGCATTCTGTAAAATTATCAGCATGATGGAAGAATGACTGAGCATACTATTACTAATTAGTGCTGTATTATTATTTCCTGTGAATTCATGATTGGAATTACACAAATCAAGACCCCACTAAATTTAAGGTGTTATTTTTTTAAATCTAAGCCTGTTCTGAACTTCAGCTGTACTATAGCATAAAGCAGAGGTCGACAACCCCCAGTTTGTGGCCCGGTGCCAGTCCATCGCCTGAGCTGGACCAGGCTGCGGAGACAAACCTCCCACCCCCCACACACTCCCCTCCCCACAGCTCCTTTGCACATGCATGCGTGAGCCAGTGCCGGTGTGAGCATGCGGTGTGAGCGCTCCCCCACCCCTTCATGCATGCACCTTCGTGAAGGGGTGGGGGTGCGCGGGCATGCAGGTGCTCTTGCACATGCATGAAGGGGTGGAGGAGCGCTCATGCTGGTGGGCACACCCCCCACCGCTTTGCGCATGCACCTGAGACCATGTGCCCAAGAGTACATGAGCGCCCACGCGAGCGGGTGCCCCGCCTTCCTCAGAGGCTCAGCTGGTCCATGGTCCCAAAAAGGTTGGGGACTGCTGATATAAAGGATTTATTCACAAGTGCACATAACAGAGTGCATGATCACTCCATTCAATTTATGAAGCATCAATTACCCCCCACACACACACACACACACTGATCAAATATGCTAAAGATATGACAACCTAATTTATCCTGAAAATAAACTGCACATTTCTCAGGCAGTTTTTAAAAAATATAGAATAATCCAAGACTATGAGGTACAGCTTTCTTCCCTCCAGAGTTTCTTGAGATGCCTTTTCCATTCTGCTTTCATGTGCCTACGTATTTTTCACAAAGGAACATTTTAGAACAGTTTCCAGTGCAACATGAGAAGCCTGAGAGATTAAAAACCTGAGAAGGCCATCACAATGTACAATGCTAGCTATCTGTGAGACAGATTATTTTAAAAATTAAAAACCCAAGAGTCAACTGCTCCCCAGGAAAATCAGAGCCGTGCTTACATCACATTTCCAGCCCTCACTTTTTTTCTTCTTGATGGAGAGATACTCTTGGATATTTTCAGGATGAAATCTGGGGAGAGAGTGATTAGATGAGAAATCATTTATTTAGTGAATATATTTTAGGAAAGCATATCAGTATGAACTCAGGTACTCTTTGCTATAGTGCGTAAGCTGTACTGTACTACAAAGCTGCACCGTACATGCCCCATTTTGTATTTCAAACAAAAACAGCCCTTATGGCTGGAATGCTTGATTTCTGTTAACCTATGTAATTTTTTCAAAGGACATCAAAGTAAAACTTCCATTACTACTTGCATGTTAAAACTCTGCAGGATCAGGCCAGCTGGGAAATACTCCCCTTAAGTCCTTTTTGCCAAGCTTATTGTATACCATTCAGTATTGATGGCTTTTCACTTCAGATACTGCTTTGTATGTTCATACAGTGGTGCCTCGCTTAACGGTTGCCTCATTAAATGACGAAACCGCTTTGCGATGACAGGAAAGCATATCAGTATGAACTCAGGTACTCTTTGCTATAGTGCGTAAGCTGTACTATGTATTTGAAAGCTGCTTCGGGAACCGATTCTTCGCAAAACGATGTTTTTCTAATAGCTGATCGGTGGTTTCAAAATGGCCACCGGGTAATTAAAATGGCTCCCCGCTGTGTTTAGGGACAGATTCCCTGCTTTACAGGCAACGAAAATGGCCGCTCCTATGGAGGATCTTTGCTGGACGGTGAGTTTTCAGCCTATTGGAACGCACTGAACTGGTTTCAATGCATTTCAATGGGCTTTTTATTTTCGCAAGACGATGTTTTCATAAGACAGCGATTTTCGCGGAACAAATTAACATCGTCTTGCAAGGCACCACTGTATGTGCATTGCTGTGTGTGTTCTTTCTTCATCATATGTGTAGAATTGTGTATGTGTGTGTGAGAGAGAGAGAGTGAAGGGGCGCGAGAGAGAGAAAGAAAGAGAATTGGTCTCAAGGTTTTCAATTGAAGAATGAGACATTTAATAAAATGCACAGGTCTCTTGAACTACAATTACTATCATCCCCAGCCACCACAGACATTAGCCATGCTGAGGGTGGCAAGAGTTTTGTTCATGCTTAGCAAGAGCACTGATGGTCCAAAGTAAGTTGTCAGGGCAGCTATGATTTTGTTCCTCCTAGCATTTTCAACATTGCTGCTGCACTTTTATTGAGTATTTTTCATCATTTACTTTATTGTTTTCTGTTAAGGATCAAAGCTCTGAGGTTCTTTTATGTTATTTAAGATGTTCCTTTTTGATCACTTAAGCTATTAAGATAGTTTCCTTCTTCTTTAATTAGGGTTGCCTAATTAAGCTTTGACAAACTCTAGAAACCAGCTTAACTTTGCATATAGTTGCCACGCTTTGTAAGTGGACAATTCTTCATAACTGTCTATATCAATGTACTTTTATCCTGAAAGAAAGCATATCATCACAATACCTAACCACAATGCATCAAGTTACATTCATACTTGCCTCTTTATATGCTTTATCAGAGTCTTTTTGGTGGCATGCAATTTGCTACAGTATGAACATTTGTGCTCCTTTTTATGAAATTCCATTTCACTGTTGTGTTTCTTTCTGTGTACAGTTAAGTTAGATTTGGTTGAATAGCGCTGATGACAAATATCACACTCAAAAGGCTTCTCACCAGTGTGCACCCGAGCATGGCTCTCAAATTTTCCTACAAAATAAACCACTCGCATTAGATTATTAAATAACCAGTTGGCACACAGCCCTGCTAACATCCACAATGACCAAACATAAACATTAAGTTTTTTTACATTTCTGAGGGCTTTTCCAAGTATGGTATCTCAGATTACAATGCATTATGAAAAAGAAAGCTATTTTTCAAGGAAACCTTTCCATTTTGGGAATATCTTATTTCTCAGTTAGAAAACTGGACAGGTAGCAGAGTGGTTTGGTGTTTCAACTATAGTGGTATATCACTGTCATCTCTCCCAGGCCACCCACCAACAGCTCACCACTTATATACAGCAGACTCTCACTGGAACTAAAACAAAATGCAAGGTGTTTAGAACTCTTTCATCAGTTTCACCACTGGAAGCCATGCTTGAAAACTAAACCTCACATTTATAATGCCGTGACTAATTAATTCCATCTATTTTGCTAGATTCCATTTGACAGCCTACTTGTGACCCCTTTCAAGTTGTGGAACAGACAGCACTCAAGACATTAGAAGAAAAACAACCACCCCACTACAGGACGTGAAAGTGGTGATCTTAACTCCTTCCAGAATGAAGATTATTCTTTAATCCCAGTGGACAATACAAACCCAATGTTTTTATGTGTTACTTTTATATTAACTAAAAGTGTAGGGCAGCAATGGGGCTACAGGGCTGCACTGACGCTTCCCACTAACTGATGCACCTTTTGTGGTTGCAGCTGAATTTGGAACTGGAATGGCATTGGAAAAAAATACCACATTTCCTTCAACAAGATAGAAGTTCCAGCACATCTTAGTGACAAGCAGTCAAATACCAGGAGGCTGGTTAAAAAAAAAGTGGGGGGGCATGCAAAGTTGCTACACCATGCTGAAAGGAAAGTGTACTTTTTCACTGCTGCCAGTACAGCAAATTCAGGGGCTGCATGGGCCCTTGGAGGCACGACATTAGACTGTACAGCTTGATGTAGCCCATAAATTTCCTGTATTGTTCAGATTTGTGACCACTTCTGGGAGCACAGAGAAGTGCTGGTACAGTCACATAATGGGTTAGTCATAGTCTGAATTGGTGCCTTCATATGGGAGTTGAACATGTGGCCATAGTTGACATGACTGCAGCAACTCTCTTGTGGCCTGTCGTAACTGCATAAATTTTGGCAGCCACATCACAAGCTGCAACTTCAGCATCAACCTGAGATTTCAACTGAGTTGCAAGACACTCTTCAGATTCAATTATGTGTCTGGCCGGAGGAGCACAGGAATCATCCCTAGATGTAGATCTCATACTCTCTATTCCCCTTTCTCTCAACAGATCAAGGATAAGGAACATTTGCCTTACAAATGTAGTTTTACTGCAATTTCCATCATCCTTCGCCACTGGGAAAAGCTTCTGTAAGACTACACATGCCCAGCTATAATGGTTGTAATACCACCGATAAAGTCATGACTCACCTGGCCTGTCGTAACTGCATAAATTTTGGCAGCCACATCACAAGCTGCAACTTCAGCATCAACCTGAGATTTCAACTGAGTTGCAAGACACTCTTCAGATTCAATTATGTGTCTGGCCGGAGGAGCACAGGAATCATCCCTAGATGTAGATCTCATACTCTCTATTCCCCTTTCTCTCAACAGATCTGGTCTTCTTAGAAAAAAAATCAAATGTTAAAACCTCTGCTTACACCTATAGCAACGTATTTTTCAAAGATGCCATGTGCTCTTAAAAAAAGAAAAGAAAACCCGCAAGACAAATAAATGGAATTTCAAGGCATTGTTTATATGAGATTTTTCCAATTCTATCTTCACATGTTTTCATATGAAAGCATTAATGGACAATATGATGTAGTGTTCAGTTGCTCAATACCACTTCTACATTTAAAAAGACCAGTATGTCACTGTGTCAGAATTTCACTACAAGGGATCTTGCAATAAACTGGAACATATGAAGCTCTAATTTGCTAGTTTTTCTATTACTAACATTTGTTGTTTTACTACTCTAAGGATGTCAGCTGCACGCTTTGCTCCATACTGAGAATATTTCTATAACAGAGTCAGCATGATCTAGTGGTTGGAGGGTTAGATGATGACTTAGCACACCTGGGTTAAAATCTCCACACCACCATGAAACTCATTAAGTTACCCTATATCAGTAGTATACTCTCAGCCCTACCTACCTCAAAGGGATGCTGTGCAGTGGGACAGAGAGCCATGGGTGGAGTCATAAATTCTTAGTTTAGAGAAAATGTGGGATATAGATGTAACAAATAATAAATACATGCTGTAATACTCATCCCTACAGATGATCTTCACTTACACCATATAATGGAACAGATCCTTTTAGAAGCATGAGTAATGGGTGGGGAGAGCCCAAGGAAATGGCCAAGAAGCAAAGCATAATATGGAATTTACTTCCCAACTGACCCCACTTGCAAAGGAAGAAAGAAAATCTCATTCCACTCTTACCTGCTCGATCAAATGTTTTATCACACTTTGGACATTGCAAACGTTTTTTGCTGCGGTTTCGAACGATGACTGGAATATATGTGGAGAGACTGCCTTCAGAAATATTTCCTGCCAGACCACCTGATTCCTGGCTATCATCAGGTTCTTTTTCACTTTGCTCTTCAGACCTGGTATCGCCACCTGAAGTGTCATCTTCTTGCCTGTCTTCATCCGTATTATATTCACTTCCACTACTTTCAGAGTCATTGTTCAACTCACTGTTTTCCTTGACAGGAGGGACTTTATTGCTCTCAGATGCACTTTCATTGTCACTCTGATCAAACTTGGCTGGACATTTGCGGTTTCGCATTGATCTCCTAGTAGAAGTATCGGATCTCTCCACCATTTTTAGCCGATGTTCATTGCCACATACAGAAGATGGGTGCGCTCTGGACAAGTGATTTTCTAAGGCCTTCTTGTAACAGAAGTTGCGACTGCACAAGGTGCATTGGTGGTTGCTTGGTGCTTTAGCTAGTTCACTGAACTTTTCTACCTGTGACAGACATTCAGTTTTTTCTTCAGATTGTGAAGTGGAAATACTTTCACTGTTTAGCAGCTTTACCGCATCAATAATATCTAAAAACTTGGCTGCTTCTAGAACTAGAGGAATTTCATTGTTATAAACAAAAAATTCTGATGTGTAGAGAAATTCAAGCAGATGACGGAAAACTGAATGAGTTACATGATCCAAAGTAACAACATTTGTGCTTGGGTTTTTGCTTAAATAAGCATGAAAATAACTACTGCCAACAGCAACAACTACTTTGTGGGCACTGAACTCTTTCCCATCAACAATGATGACAAGATCACAAAATGATGGCTGCTTCTGTCGATCATCATTTAAGTATTTGAGCAGATTTCTGTTATATTGCAGGGAACTTAAAAGCTTTTTTTGGTTCAGAGATGGAAAGAGTTCGTTGGAACGCACAAACTGGTCTGTAGCAGTTATGTCTGCAGAACTGACAATAACTTCCTGCACAGAATCTATTACAGGAATCTTACCAGGAGATTCCCTCTGGCGACCAGAATGTATTTTATCACCTAAATTTGCAGTGAGCTTTCTCCTTTTCTTCATTGCACTTGTGCCACTTTAAAAACAGGAAATTCATATGGAAGCCAAAAAGTTTCAATAATAGTTGAAGTTATTACCTACAAAAAAAGGGGAAATGGTTGAAAAGCTAACCATGCAGTATGTGTAAATCATGCAGAAGAACTACAATTATTTACAAACAAATGTCGTTGTTTGAAAATATACATATTTATTAAAGTTTTAAAACTTGGCACTATCCCCTACTTGACGGTCCGAAATCCAATTTTTTATTCAGTATGAAATATTCAAGTGAACACATACCCACAAATACTTGCAAATATGGACCACTTTGAAAATGAGAAACAGTGTCCAGTTCTTGAACACTGAAATCCTTGGACATGAAACAAACAGTGACTGGGTGAAAGCAGTGACTATTATGGTGCTCCCTCTTCCTGCTCCCTCTTACTGGAACAGCAAGGAGAATTAGTCTCTGGCCATAGAATCCCCATCACTGACCTGTCCAGAAAGGGATTTCAAGTAAGCAATTTAAGAAGATTAGCTACTTAGTCCATTACCTGTCTGCATTCTGCACAATGCAGAGACCCAGTCTGTAATCAGAAGCAGGTGCTTACATGAACTTTCTAGGAAATACCATAGTCCCACTCCACCCTGTTACAATACCCAGAAGCTGGGGTGGGGACAATAATAACAACCACCCGCTTTTCTTGCCTGCTCCCTCCTCTAGACCCACTCAGAAGCATGCCACATAATGAGACACAAAGGCACTGAACAAGCAGCTCAAACATTAGCCTTTCCCTTCTCATGAGGAATGACGGGGCAAATAATGCATGCTGCTCCCTTTTAATGGTTGAACCACCTTTCCCTCCAGATACTCTGCCTCCTTCCCCATCAAAGCTCTTAGATAATGTTGCAAGAACAGGCCACAGTAAGGGAGCAAGAGGTGCCTGTTCCATATAAAATGAAGCACCACCTTTGTCCATTCACTTGCCCTCCCACACTAGGTTAATACAAAAGACTGGGCTCCTTTCACCTGCTTCCTTTATCGGGTCACTCAAGCTGCAACTACACTGGCAAGCCAAATCCAGAGCAATTCAGCTTTGCTGCAGCTTGATTTGCACCCTATTTTATGCTTGTTTGGATTAGAAGATCACACCGAGATAGCAGATTGTTTTGATGCCAGTGTCCATGCTGGTTCCTCAGTCTGATGTGATTTGACCTGCATCACAGCCCACCTTCCTTTGATCCCCTCCTCTGCTGATCCCCGTCTCTCCTATGCAAAGCTGGTGGGCTGTTTAACGTGTTATACAACACTAGGAAAAAGGGACAGTTTTCCAAAAATTTCCATAATATACACATAGTAGTCTGCAGTAGTTCATCAGGGTTGTTTCTACTGTATGTCTCTTATTGTCTGTGCAAAGTTGATCTATTGCTAAACTAGTACATATATAAATGTACTGATGAAGTGATGTAACACATCTTAATTTTTTTAAAAAAACACACACTTTTAGATGACTAGGAAGAAAAATTGTGGGAATGGGTTTCCCTTCTGTTGAAATGTACTGAATATGCCCAGCTCAGTACATTGCCAGAATACCACACCACCTCACATCCTTTTGGAAAACAAAACAGCTGCTCACATAAGAAAACATCCACTCAAATTGTTCCAGCTTTAAGAAAAAAAAAATTGAAGCCTGCAGTAGCAGAGGGGGGGAAAAAACAATGTCGGGAGAAAAAAGTTCAGACTGATTCAAATTGATTTCTGCATTGTGTGATCAAGAGGGAAAAAAGCAATTCCATCCATTTTACACCTGCAACAAAGCCCATGGCATTTGACCACGGAGTTGCAGTCTCAGAGGAGGTGCACAGAAGAGTGAATGAGTGGTATGGTGGGTTGACTGTTTGCTCCTTCAGTGACTAGCTTCATGTTCCACTTGTCCAGGGAGATGGTATAGGCTGCCAAACAGGAAAACATGGCTGATCATGCTCTACCTGTAAGACCTCACACGTTTTTTGGATTGCAACTCCAATCACTGCCAATCAGAGGCTATGCTGGCTGGGGACAATGGGAGTTATAGTCCAGTCACACTTGTTGGCAGAACGTATGCTTAGAACCAAACCTCCTTGCTAAGCAGCTGCTGCCCTCTCCTGTTACACGTGTTCCTGGTTTCTCCTCAGAAGCAGAACTCCCAACAGGGGACAGAGAAGGGATTGCAGGCGGCTTTTTTTTTCTTTTTGGCTGCCGCCGCCGCTACAGAAGAGGAACTCTCAATAACTTTCAGACCCCATCTCCTTTCCAGGGGTTGTCCCCCCCCAAAAAAAACGCAACACAGCTTCCTTCCTCCCCACGCCCCCATTTTGCCAGACCCCCCACGTTTGAGATCTTGCACAGACAGGCCCTTTCAAGAGTCAAGCCCATCTACACACCTCAGAGGCCACGTTCACGCGCGCACAAACGGTACACGACCCTGAAAACCCCAAATCTGGAGTAAGGGAAGAAGACTAGGAACGGCAACCCAGCCCCTGGCAAGAGCCACCTGGGGGCGCGAAACATACCGACCCCGCGTCTCCTTTCGGTGGACCCTCACCCCACCCCCCGCAAAGCAATCAGAGAACACCATGACAGCGCCCCTCGGAAACCCCCCTGACCAGACGCAGCCAGGAAAAAAAGGGGGCGGAGCCTCTGGACTTGCCTCCCCCCTCCCTCCCTTCCTATCGCGAGAAGGGGGTGAATAGCAGGCGCCTCAAAGGCCAGCAGGGCGCGAGCCAAAGACATACACACCTCTCGCCCACCGGCAGTCAACGTTATCAGAGAGGCCTCAAAACACCACCCTTAAAAAAAAAAAAATCCGAGACACTCGCCTCACCGACAGCTCGTCCCCGCCCACTCTCACAACTCTCCTCGCCATCACTTCCGGGTTCCGGGGAAAGGCTCAGGTCAGACGCAGCCTCCGTGCGGGAGGAGGAAGCGCCGCGCGCGCGTGTGTTTACGGTTGGAGTCCCGCGCACGTGCAGGGAAAGGGGAGGGGGCGGAGCAAGAGGGGAGGCGAGTGACAGGTGGGTCGTTCCACCCCTGTGTCGAGAGACAGCCAACGCGCCCGCTTCCCAGTTCAACTTGGGGAGGCTTACCAGACCAGCGCGCCATAGAGATGCATGGAGAGAGCGGCTCTGTCATTTTTTCATCAAAGAGTTATGAAGTGGGCGGGGCGAGTGAGACCACTTCCGGTTTGGATGCGGACTTCCTCCACCGCGGAGGCACCGTGGTAAAACTCAGAGGTTGGGGTTCTTGTAATAGTGAGGGAAAGACCCCTCGAAGAGAGAAGGGGTGAAGTGTGAGGGCCTGGGAAGGTGGCCAGGCAAATCGCAGCCCTGCCTTTTTTTGCTCCCCAGAGTTTTCGGGTCATCTAGGCTCTACTTTGGAGTCATCTTTCCTTCCTTCCTTCAATTTGTATACCACTTTATTAGTGTGAGGCACAATTCTGGATGGTTCACAGTCGGCTGACAACACAATAAAGATAAGTCATGATTGTGGGTTTTTCGGGCTCTTTGGCCGTGTTCTGAAGGTTGTTCTTCCTAACGTTTCCCTGGTCTCTGTGGCCGGCATCTTCAGAGGACAGGAGTCAGAATGTCCCAATAGGAGGTCAGTTTTGCATATGACCATGGCATCTAAGAAAGGGAGTTGGCCCTCTATTTCTTTTTCCATGGTGAATTGTATATTTGGGCGGATTTTATTGAGATGGTTTCAAAATTCTTCCAGTATTTCTTCACCGTGGTTCCAAATTGTGAAGGTGTTATCCACTTACCGGAACCAGACTGTGGGTGTGAAAGGTGCCGGAGCCAGGGCCTGTTTTTCAAAATGACAAAGGGCCATCTAAGAAAGGATGTCATGGTCATATGCAAAACTGACCTACTGGGACATGAGGTCTACAAAAATCCCACCCACACAGACCAGTACCTACACAAAAACTCCAACCACCACCCACAGCAAAAAAGAGGCATAATCAAAACACTGGTAGACCGTGCAAATTGGAACTGTGAAGCTCAATTTCTCAGCACCAAACTCAACCATCTGAATTGGGCCCTACAGGCAAATGGCTACTCCAAAAATGCAATCACAAGAGCCATCAAACCAAGTAAACAACACCAAATTGAAGAGGAAATACAGCCCACCACAAATAAAGTATTTCTGCCATACATCAAAGGGGTCACGGACCGCATGGGGAAATGTTTGAAAAAAAATCAACCCTACAAACAGTATTCAAGTGCACCACAAAAACATAACAAATGTTACGGTCAGCAAAGGACAAAAGGGACCCCTTCACCTAGCGACATCCATGAATCACAATGACAGATACACTCCCCCTCTTATTACAACAATACACCCACAACAAAAAAACACACTGATCACCTCAATCACCCGTCTCCTAAAAAGGACAAAAGCTGATCCCACAGCTATAAATACTCAACTATCCAAACAAACTGCACCAGAGCACAGACAGAGTTCTGACTACTGTCCGCTGAAGATGCTGGCCATAGAGACCAGCAAAACATTAGGAAGAACAATGTTCAGAACACAGCCAAAGAGCCCGAAAGACCCACATTAACCATGAGATCCCAGCCGTGAAAGCCTTCGAGAATACAAAGATGTGTGTGTTCAGTCGTTTAGTCGTGTCCGACTCTTCGTGACCCCATGGACCAGAGCACGCGAGGTCCTCCTGTCTTTCACTGCCTTCCAGGGTTGGGTCAAATTCATGTGGGTAGCTTCAATGACACTGTCCAACAATCTCGTTCTCTGTCGTCTCCTTCTCCTCTTGCCCTCACACTTTCCTAACATCAGGGT